CATACCAGACAGGCTCCAGCCTGGGCAACTCTCAGCTCTAGGTCCCCCTGGCCTTACCTCGATGCGGGTGCCCTGGCACAGCCACCAGCCCTGCCCGTCAGTCACCCTGCAGGCAACAGCACATCCCAGGCAGAGTTTTAAATAGAAGCTCTGGGAGGCTTCACAGGTGCGTTTCCCTGACCTCAGCAGCTCTGGGCAGGATGGCCCTGGGTGGCACTGGCGGGTACTCGACCCGGAGGCAGCCTGCTTCAGGGCCTGGCTGGCACAGGGTGGAGGCTCCACTGCGCCCCAGGGCCATCCTCTGCTCTTATGGTACCCATCCAGCTTCCCTCAGTGCTCAGGAAACCCACTCATGGCACAGGTGCAGCTCAGCTGGCCTGGCAGCTCCAGCCTAACCCTGACCCACTGTTGTCCCTGTCTCAGCCCCTGACACCCTGTGGTTCCTTGTTCCATTCGCAAACTTCCACTGCCTCTTACACCACCACCATCCCCTGGATTCTGGGCTGTGTCCCCAAGTCCCACACTCACCCCAGGCCAGGATGGGCCACACCCTCCCTCCCACCTAATCCTCTCTTGGTTCAAAGCCTGCACCTCTATGGTAGGGATGGAGTTCCTCTGGCAGGAGCAGGGTGGAGCAGGTGCAGCCCGGTCTACCCCAGAGCACCCCAGAGGACAGCTGACAGAGCCCCCAGACCCCTCCCAAAGCTGCAAAGGTGCTGAGACCCTTCAGTAGCCTGGGCAGGTCCTCGGCAGGCAGGGTGGGGATGGGATGAGGGTGCAGAGCAGAGACACTGGACGGGAGGCAGCCCTCAACCCTGCTCTCCTGGGGCTGATGGGGGAGCAAATGGAAGGTGGAGAGGGCACTTAACAGGCAGTCCTGGTGCCGCACCCTATAAGAGGGATCTTTCTTGGCGCCTCACTCAACCACTCCCAGCTCTGGCTCCAGAATGGCCTGGTCCCTAAGGCCCACAGGGGAGTGTGCTATGGGCGGGGCTGTTCCTACAACTGCTGCTACAGGAGGCCTGGGGGCTCCACCCCAGGGGAAGAGCTTGGCCTATCCCCAGGGGCTACATGGTCCAGCAGATCTAGGGGCTGGTCATCACCCACAGGCCTAGCAGGAGTCAGTCCTCAGGCCAGGACTGCTGCCTCTGTGTCCCTGGTGACATGGTCCCCATGTCTTCCCACTTCCTGGCTGTCTCCACTCTCTGCTGTCAGAGGGGCTGATGGTGCTCTGGCCCTGGGCAGCTTCAGCTCCTTGGACCCCTGCATGAGGGACCAGGCAGGCAGAGGCATCTTGGCACCTGCCCTCAGAGCCTGGGAGTGTGGGGTGACCTCAATGTGGCTTCTGTGACCAGGCCTTCCCTGGAACCCACTAGGGTGATTCTACCCCTTTAGGAAGATGATCTTGTTTAGTGGCAGCCCCAGTGTCCCCTGCCCAAAGCCACACAGTGTCTCCCTGATTCTGGGGCGGGAAAGGTTGACACTGCACTTCCAGACTGGCAGGCAGCAGAGGCACCCAGACCCCAACACAAAACCCTTAGGCACCCCTGCCCTGCTGCCCCTCAGGCTGCTAACCCCCAGTCTGTGTACCCCAGGGCCAGGACTGTTGCTTGGGTTTCTAGGACACCCTGGAGGTAGTTCTGGAGAGGAAGGGGCAGTGCCTCCTGAAGCTGCTCCTTGGGCTCTGAACAGTGGGGCAGCACTATGTCTTAGGACAGCCAAGGGGCCCATAGCCCCCGCCCAGATTGACTTCAGCTGAGTGCTGCTCCCTGAGCCCCAGGACATGGCCTGTCAGGTAGTGGTGAGGGTTCACTGGGTCCTCAGTGATCCCTGGAGCAGCGAGCAGACCGCTCTGCCCACTCCCCACTGGGCAGGCTGACTCACCAGCTTCTTCCTCTCTGGGAGTTGCCTGGCCATTGTGCAGCCTCCTTGGCCCATGTGGGCTGCTGAACAATTCCCTCCCCCAAGGCCATGGGCATTGAGGCCACAGTGACTCATTGCAAGTGGCTCTCCTCCCCTGAAGAACACGGAGCCCACAGCCTGCCCGCCTGCTCACAGCCTGCCACCCACGGCCTGCAGGAGGAGGGGAGCAGCCCCCACTCCCCCACAGAGCCAGCCTGAGGCAGGAGCAGGGAGGGGTTGGAGTGAGCATGGGAGAGCCAGCCCCAGGCTGAGCCCCACTCTGTGCTGGCTCCATGCCACCCCCGAGCCCCCTGCCCTGGGGCAAAGGGAGACTGACTCTGGCTCCCCCCTTGCCCAGACCTCAGATGTCACCTTGGCAAAGACCACCACCCTGGTACTAGGGGGTGTCGTGTGGGCTTGGACTCCTCCATCTGGGCCATTGCCCATCCCTGTACCCCCTACCCCATTCCTTCAGGCCTGCTGGCATGCAGGCGGGTCTGGCCAGCTCACCTCCTGGCCCACTGTTCTACCTCCTTCAGGGAGCCTTGAGGCACAAGGGGGCAAGGTCAGACTCATCTGCCCTGCTACAGGTGCCAAGGCAGCCACCTTGGGGCAAAGAAGGTTTGAGAAAAAAGAAAGTCTTCCAGCAGGGACTCCCTGCCCACCTTTGCCTGAGATGGCTGGCAGTGAGTAGGGGAGAGACCTCCAGCAGCTGGTGAGACCTAGTCCTAGTCATCCCTGGGGAGGAGTCCTGGGGGTCCCAGAACTCCAGGCACCCCTTCCTACACCCCATAGGGAAGGCCCACAGTGCGACCAGGGCCGATGCCCACACGAAGCTGGGCCCAACAACGGAACATGGCAAGGAGCCTGGCCAGCCCCTATCTCACCCACTCTTGTGACCCCTAGAAGACTACTGGCCCCAATACTCTGAACATCCAGTAGGTGCCTCGTGGGGGCTCCTCCAGCTTCCACAGAGCACAGGACAGAGTCATCAGGAACCTGGCCACCCCACCCCACCTTTGTGCTCTCTGAATGTTCTGGGACCTGTCACCTCCCCAGGCTGTCCCCATGTTAGGGTTAGAAGTGGAGGGACTTTTTCCAAACAGCCTGCTACTGGGCAGAGTCCCTTCTTCCCCCAGGCCTGTAGACACCAGTGCTGAACACCAGAACCCCACCACAGGCATGGCAACCACACAGCCTCAATGCTCTGTGCCCTCCCCAGCTCCAAGAGAAGGTCACAGCACGCTTCATTCCCATGAGGGGGCACAGACACCCTGGAGCCACGAGGGTCTCTCCTTGGGAGGACCTGCAGCCACCCAGGCACCCACACCCCAGTGGACATACATATCTGCAGTCCACCTCCAACCCCATCAGCACCCATGCCAGAGACTTGCCCCTCAAACCAGGGCCCAGTGGGATGCAGGTTGGAGGCTGCTAGGGCTGGGGGAGGGAAGCAGTGGGTGTGACTCCTAACAGGTGCTACCAATGACCCAGTATTGGACAGTGGTGATTTGCATGATGCTGTGAAGGTAGTACATGTCACTAAAGGTACATTTTCAGTTTTGCATATTTTACTACAATTTTAAAACCATACGCAAGGCTGAGACACGGTGTTGGACTCCCCACTAGCTGTCCACTCCCTAGGGGGCCAGGGACAGTTCTCTCTAGGTACACCCATGCCATTTGGTGGCTACAGTGAGAACATTTGCCATCCCCTGCTGAATCGCATCGGCTGAAGGTACTGGTGTTTATCTTGTCACCTGGAGGCCCCAGGCCCTATATGAACACTCCCATGGCTGAGGTTTTCCACAATTAATCACAACCCAGTTGAGCAAGCCGAGGGGCTGCTATTGACTTGGAAGGATGTTAAGTCTACGGGCTCAGTCCCCGGAGGCCTCCAGCTCTTCCCAGCAGGGGTTTCAGGAGAGTAGGGGTAGTCCCAGGAAGGTAGGGGAGCCCCCCTACCAGGTACACCATACTGCCTCCCCCTGCACCCAGTAAGGAGGTCGACCGAGCCCTGGGCAGCCAGGAGCGCTCTCAGGCACATGATCCAAGGAGATGAGAACGCATCAGGCTGGAGAGCCCCTCTGTGAGACTCATACTCTGCTCTAAGTGGAGGGCTGTGGCTCCATCTCTCCAGCTCTGCAGGGAGGCGGAGCGACGTGCGGTTTCTAGCAGGCAGACTGGTTTTCCACACCCCTTCACGGTGCACAGCCCCACACACTGGCCCTGCTCACACATGGACTCTTTTCAGCTGTAGCTTCCGCTGTGGGCTGTTGGGAAGGCTCAGTTGCGTCCTGACAATTTTCTGCCCCACGTGTACCACATGCTGACCTGCATGACTGCACTGGTGGGAAACTTCAGCTTCATAGCCACGTTTAAGGCTGGGCAGTGACAGCCCAGTCCCCCCTACGCTGGAAGAAGAGTGTCTCCTGATCCTCAGCCCCACAGTCTCCAGCCGGAGCATTATCCTTCTCAGGCATAAACATGCCTCCCCTGAGGCTGACAGAGCCCAAGTGCTGGGTGTTTACCCAGGACAGCTATTTGGGGAAAAGGCGGAGAGAAAAGCAACACTCCTGTCAGCTTCCTGCCAGCCCCCTCAGCAGACAAATTATGCCCCTGGGCTCATTCTGCCCATCCTTTACCAAAGACGTTCATTTCACTTTATTAGGCCCAAGAGAATTGGAGGGTTGAGGACATTGTCGCTTTGAATAGATGACTGGGGCATGAGCTTGAAGGACACTCTCCCCCAATGAATAATTAATAGACCACCGCAGCTGGAGTCTGCAGGACACCAGCTCTGGCCACACTGAGGGCTGCATTCCTGAGTGCTCCCTGTCCTGACTGGTCCCTAACTGGGCAAAGCTGTGGTCTCAGGGGCTGGGAGCAGACTCAAGGAGGACAGGCCCCCACGTTGGTCTTGGGAAAACTCCCTGGCACCCTGTGCCAACCTCCAGGTGCCCTCCCAGGGGGCACTTTCCCTGCCCCACCCCCATCACAAACTTCTGTGCCCCAGCAGCCTGAAATCCAAGGGCACGCAGCCTTCAGCACCGCGGCCAGCTCCATGCTTCCGCCACAGGACCCCAACCCGCCCCTACCTGTCGTCATTCTGGAAGGACTGGTCGCCCAGCAGCAGGTCACGTAAGCGGTATCGCGGCGGCAAGGGCAGCACCTCCGAGTCCAGGTCGTTCATCTTGAAGCGGGTGGTGTCTGGGCGCTCGCCATCCACGTGGCCGCGGCTGCCGTCCCCAGCGCAGGGCCGCCTGAGGGCACACGCCGGAGCCCTCAGCCTGTACCCTCCAGACACCCGGTCTGTCCGACTGCCCATGCAGCACAGTCCGCGGCCACACAGCCACAAGACTGACCTACGGGAGGGCCTGGAGGCACCTGTGGGAGGGCTAAGGGCTGGGGCGGGGCGGGGGAGGTGGGGGTGGTGGCCCGCCGCTGTGGCCAGTTCAGGGATCCAGCTGTCCATACTTCTGCCTGGGGCCGCGCTGGGGCCATCTCCCTTCCCTGGAACCCTACCAGGGCCCCGCCACCCACCTGGTCCCTGCAGTCTTTGCCAAGGCTGCTCTCCCGTGATAAGGGGCCAGAACACCCACAGAGTCCCCTTAGCTGCTGAGTGGTGGAGGTGGGGTTGAGTGACCAGGAGGCTCAAGAGTCCCTTGTTGGCAGCTTCCCCAGAGCCATTGGGTGGGGGGGGGTCAGGCCCCCTGGGTCCCAAGCCAGTATCGCCAGGTGAGGGTGCCCTGAGTCCCAGAGAGCTGTAGTGGCAGAGTGGGGGTATGGGGGCAGACTGTAAAGTGGGGAGTCCTTGGTGGTCTGCAGTGCTTTGGGGCCCAGGCAGGTACCTCCTAGGGCTGCTGGACCATCCCTGTCCCATATCCCCATCTGTGAGTTTCAGCTGCTCCAGGGAGGGCAGCACAAGCTGAGGGTTGGGGGATTCTCCACCCACTCCAGGCCTGCCCGGGGGGGCCTATGGCCAGCAGGAGGGCAGAGGATGATGGAAGGCCCTGAGCAGCTGGGGGGACAGAGTTTTCAGATCATGCCCAGTTCCCTGAGCAGAGGACACTCACCTGGAGCCCAGCTCTACACCAGGCTATGAAACACCTCCCTCCTCAAGCTGGGAAAGGTGGGCATGGTCCCTGAGCCACTGAGACTCATCCCATGTCCCCACCCCCATCCTCCATTGGCCAGGAAATGCCCAACCATGGTTCCAGGCTGTGGCTGCAGGTGGCAGGCACTGGCCCAGCACCCTGCTCCCTGTCTCTTGGGTCACATGCTCAGCCTCCAGGATCTGGCAGCATTTGAAAAATAACATTTTCTTAACTGCATCAGCACAGCTGCATGTTTTCCTTGGTCATGGCTGTCAGGGAGCTGGGGAGGCTCGGGGAGGCGGGGGCCCTGTGACCGGGGTTGGGCTGTGTCTTCTTGGTTTGGCCCCATTCTTAATCAAAGCCATTTTCTACACAAAGCCCCTAAAGAGGACTGGTTCCCAACTATTGTTGCCTCTTCCCCAGTTCTGAGCTACTTTGGATTTTCTCTCCTGGCCTCAAGGCCAGTTTCGGCAAAGCCCCGGACAGGCCCAGTCGTGGGATCTGTTTGCTCTAGCTGCATGTGGAGGTTGGGCAGGGAGGAAGGGTGCCCAGAGTCCAGGGACCTAGCCTCACCTCTGCCCCCCAGGCTGCACCTGGGGACAGTGATAAGGACAAGCTGCCCTTCCTTGCTGGGATGCTGCTGGGACATTCCAGTGAGCACATGGCCATGGACAGGCATCTTGCTGGCCTCCTGGCAGCCTGCCTTGTTCCATCAGCAGAGCAAAAATCCTTGAAGAAACGACTGTTGGGCTGGCCAAGGTCCAGGGGCTGCAGGGCCTCCTGGAAAGGAGCCCACTCTAGGGAGGACCAGGTGGAGCAGCTGCTCCCCAGCAGGAAGGCCTGTGTCAGCAGACTTCTTGGGCATGTGGGAGTGGGGCGTCCCGTCCCCAAAGAAGTGTGTATAGGTGGGCCAAGAGCACGACCCCAGTGCAGCTGGATGTCAGAGCCCCCGAGCCCATGCCTGTGATTGTCTTAAGTGGGATGGCTTTGCCAAAGAATTGCCAATTGCCACAAGAATTCCTGCTTTTGTGGCTTAAAGAAGGTGTATACTCCCAGGACAAGGCATGGGGTCCAACCTGAGGGACTTGTGTCCCCTGGAGCCAGGGCAGAGCTAACAGGACAGAACAACCTCAACCACAGGCCAGGGCAGATAACCCAATGGCTGTCTGCCATGGCCCCTGCTTCTCTGAAGGACTCCCCAGGACCCCTGGCACACATGTACCAGGCTCCTGCTAATGTGGGCACAGCTCAACCCTGGCTCATCAGTGCTGACTGAGTGGCCCAGGGGAAGTCACTTGACTTCTCTGAGATTGAGTCTCCTCGTCTGTAAGGGAACATACTGACACTGTCCATCCCTATGGGTGACTGTAAAGACACAGCCAGATAGCAGGTGTGAGGTGCCCACGTGGAGCCTGGCACAGAAGTGCTCCATCTACACAAGCTTTAATTGCATGCTGGCTAGGCAGCAGCTGGCTGTGTTCTCATGGACAGAGCTGTGACCAGAAGCAGCCCCAGGTTCTGGGGATGGTGTGGGCCAGCATCACGTGCCCCCATGGGTGAGAATGGGTCCCTTTGGGGGGCTCAGGTGCCAACCTGCAAGACCCATGCAGAGAGGCTGCGTGAGCAGAGTCCCCACTGGAACATGCAGGGGTCCACGTCAGTTGCTTAGTGCTGACACGATCACATGTCCTGGGCCCCCAACCCTGTCAAGAGAGGCTTCATCAGCTGCATTCAGAGTGGCTGCACTTAGCTGGGCCCTGACAGAATCCTTCCAGAGCCGGTGGCCCACCAACCCCAGCGCCAGGTGTGGACAGGTGGGGTCACAGAGCACAGGAGCCTCCTGAGTTCCCAGGCTCTTTAGGACCGAGTGGATGACAAAGAGGCCAAAGACTGCTTCCCCAATCAGAGGCAAGAGGCATCCCGGGCAAGCTGGGACAGTAATGAGGCAGTGGACCTGGCCTGCACACAACAGTGAGAAAAGAAATAAGAGGAAAGGAGGGAGAAATGGGGGCAGTGTTCACAGCTGGCCTAACATTTATCTGGAAAACCCAGGAAGGATCAACCAGAGAAGGATCAGAGCAAATAAGGCATCTAACACGGCAGCCAGCTCAGGGCCCTCGCCAGCCAAGTGCAAAGCCACACCTGTGCACAGTGGCTGCAAACCCAGGTCCTGTGGCTCCACCTTACCCCAAACCCACTGGACCCTACCAGTGTCCCACAGATGGACTGGAAGCTGTCGTCATTGGGAGGCAGAGGTCAGATTCCCAAGGGCCCAACAAGTCCATTCTCCAAACAGATGGGCCAAGTTAATCAACTCCAAGTGGGAGCACAGTGTTATTTTCTCAGAACTTGACAAATTGTTTAAAAACCTCCGACTGTCTTCAGCATGTGTGCAAGAACAGCCACAGCCTTTGTGAGAAGGACCTGACAGAAGGCCATCACCTTGCCAGCTGTCCCCACTAATTTATAGCCACAGCAGCTGATGTTTGGGGTCTGGCATAAGACAAGTGGTCATGGAACACACCAGAACACTGGTATAAGTTTACAGGCAGCCTAGGCTCGGGGGCATGGAGTGGGGGCACCCCTTCCTGACTTAGGCTTGGTCATGGCATCCCTATGAGGTGGGATGGCATTTTCCCTGTTTTGCTGATGGGGAAATGGAGGCACAGAGGACTCATGTAACTTACTTAACCCTGTTCCTTATTTAACTCTGTCACCTGTCCCCTTGTCTTGGCAGGGTCAGTATCCTATGGGCTGCAGTAGAGGCCTTTTGTTGGGTAGGACAAAATAAAGTGAATTTAGACTTCACCTCACCTTCCAATCAGCCCCAAACCAGGGGCAAGATTGGAAGAACACATAGGGAAACATGTTTGAGAAGATCTTTTACTTAATACACAAAACCCAAAAGGCAATGAGGAATAGATATATAAATGTTTCTACCTCTGAACAAACTGCTGTCTAACAAAAAAATGTCATCGACAAATGAAAGAATATATTTATGTGCCGACAATCAGGAACCGGCAGGAATTCCTACAAGTCCACGCCAAAGAAAAGCCACCAGACCAAAACTCCAAAGGACGGACAAGCGATGGTTCAAAGAAGAGAAAAGGCACAGGATGAACTAACAAAGGACAATCTCACGGGAAACAGGGGAGAGGGTGCACCTGCCTCAGACACTGGGGCATGGCTGGAAGCGAGTCAGGCTGGACACAAAGCGGCTCCAGTGCCAGTGTCCAGCGAGCAGGGAGCAGCATGCAGCAGGGCTCCCTGACTTGGAACCTCCACCCAGGACGGCTTCAACCTTTGTCTACAAAATGAACGCTGCAAAGAGCCTGAAGGTCCTTCAATGCAGGAATGTCCCACAGCTCCGTCCAGGCTGCTGTGTGAACCTGCAAACTTGGCGTCAAGAATGCAGAACCTTTTTCAATAGGATCCCAGTAAAAACGACACACAGCCTCTCCCAAAGAACCCCAGATGAGAGGTGAGTTTCTCTGGGTACCCAGCGTATAGGTGATGTGTGGAGACCATCTCCATGCACTGGTGACTGCAGTTCCAGGGGCAGGCTAGAGGTTCAAGGTCAGCATCTTATTCGTAGGATGGTACAAAGACAATGTGCCCTGTGTGATCATGTCGCTGAACATGGACAAAGGGCTAAAGGCCCCTCTCCTGATCTCCAGCTTAACCAGGCAGGAGCTGTGGCCCTTGGTCCCCATTTCTGGCCTTTGGGGGCCTCAGAGAGAGGTTAGGGAGCTGGCTCCTCAGGGTCCACATGTGAAGGCCCCAAAGAATATTCTCAATTTTAGAGGCCAAGTCTCGATGTCACCCAGGCTGGAGTGTAGTGGTGGGATCTTAGGTTGCTACAGCCTCAAATTCCAGGGCTCAAGTGATTTCCTACCTCAGTCTTCTCAGTGGCTGGGACTACATACCAGGCTAATTTTTAAATTTTTTGTAGAGATACGGTCTTACTATATTTTCTCTTGTTGCCCCAAACTCTCCATTTAAAAGTTAAGACTCTACTAATTTGCCCAATAATGTATAAGCCTCCCTTTGTCTCTGTCTCCACATCTACTGTTTTTGGACTTTTTAATAGATGCCATTCTAACCACGGTAAGATGACAACTCACTGTGGTTTTAATTTGCATTTCCCTGGCGGTTGGTGACCTGGA